AGTGGTGGAAAGGGACTAAGAATCAGTTGAGTATATATGCAGGGTAAAGTGGAAGTATAGAAAGATCATCTCTGGGCTGGGAATGTGGCTTAGTCTTAGAGTGCTTGCTTCACATGCATGAAAACCTGGGTTCTGCTCCTCAGTACTACATACACAGAAAAAGCCAGAAGTGACACTGTGGCTCAAGTGGTAGAGTGCTAGACTTGAGCAAAAGAAGCTCAAGGACAGTGCCCAGGCAGTGAATTCAAGCTCTAGGACTGGCAAAAAAAAATCTACACATATATATGTATAACTGTTTACAGGGTTGGAGGCTTGGCTCGTTTGGTATAGTACCAGCCAATGAGCAAAGGGTCAGGTCTGAAGTTCAGGCTTTGAACCTAGGGTCACATACTTGCTTGGATGGTGCTCTGCCACTTGAGCCATACCTCTAACTCTACTTTTTTGTCAGTCCTGGGGCTTGAACTCTGTGCTTGGACACTGTCCCTCAGATCTTCAGCTCAAGGCTAGCACTCTACCACTTGAGCCACAGTGCCACTTCTGGTTTTTCTGGTGGTTTATTGGAGATAAGAGTCTCACGGACTTTACTGCCTGGGCTGACTTTGAACCATGATCCTCAGATCTCAGCCTCCTTACTAGGTAAAAGTACGGGTGTAAGCCACTGTCACCCGGCTCCACATCTCCTTTTTTGCTCGTTATTTTGGAGATGAAGTCTAGAGGACTCTTCTGCCTTGGTTGGCTTTGAACTGACATCCTATACATCTGAGCCTCCTAAGCTAGGATTACAGGTGTGAGCCACCAGCACCAGCTCAACTGTAACTTTTTAATGTATTAACTATGTACCTACTACCTATCATGTAATGGATAATAAATATTTTGAAAGATAAGTTCTTTTTATCAATTTAATCTTTGAATCACTTACTTATTTCTTACTTTTTTTGATGCTGTATCATTAAGCTACAGCCCCAGCCGTAGTTTTCAGAAAAATTCTCAAACATCCTTAAAGACTGGCACACCATGGTACCAGTTACAAAAGTATTTCATATAATTGCCCAAGTGACATATTCTTTTGTCCAAGGCTTAGCCAAACAAAACAATAACAAAAACAAGAAACTAGGGTATGTGCGGAATCGATGGGGAGATAGTAGATACAGAGGAATATGTTTTCATTGAGAAGTATATTGAATTAGGGAATGGGTTTGTGATGGAGAGAACAAGATAGTTTCAATACAGGAGAACCTAGAAAATGAAAAGCTGTGAAAACTTTATGAAATGAATTTAACTTGTATCTTTCCTCTTGATTTTCCAGTTTTTTAGTTATTTTTTTTTGGGGGGTCCGGTCGTGGGGCCTGAACTCTGGGCCTGGGTGCTGTCCCTCAGCTCTTCAGCTCAAGGCTAGTGCTCTACCACTTGAGCCATAGCGCCACTTCCGGCTTTTTTTCTTTTTGCTTATGTGGTGCTGGGGAATCGAACCCAGGGCCTCAGGCATGCAAGGCAAGCACTCTACCACTGAGCCACCTTCCCAGCCCCTAGTTTTGTTTTGTTTTTTTTTTTTACTCCAGAGCTTTCCTCTTCCAGGAAGAGATACTTAAATATTTAACTCTATTTTGTGAATACAAATAAATTTATATTGATCCATTAACAGAACAGTATTTGCTTGTATTTGCCAGGATGTGTCAAGCAAGACAAAAGAGAGAGCCATAATTAATATAAACAGAGTAGAGAAACAGGTATATACTGTCAATTGCCTCCTCCCATGCAGGAAGGTAAAACCTGAGGAAGCTGTGATCGAACAAGCCAAAGCCAATGCAGCCCTTTGGGAGGCCAGATTGGAAGTCACAGAACTCTCTAGGATTGAGTATCGTGATACTTCCCGAAGACTGGCAAAATGTAATGAGGAGTTAAAGAAACAGCAGTATAAGATGGAGAAAGACACAATGTCTGTATTAAGCTTCATGAAGAAGCAGGATCAGGAGAAAGATAATATGGTAGGTAGGTAGAAAACCTCATGAGTCTCATTAACTACCTCTGTTACACTTTTCAAGAATTTTAATTCATTAAAGTCTCATCTAATTGAAACAGTAAATTAACCCTTAGCATCCCCTTGAAACAAGATATTTTAGAATTTCATTGGTATTTTCATAGTTTCAAGTTTCAGCTCTTACACTATGTTTCTTATCTGAAGCAATTAGGAAGAATAAAAGAATGGTATGATCTATGTATTAATCCATGTGTGTGATCTATGTGTTTGTTTGTTTGTTTTGTCAGTCATGGGGCTTGGGCACTGTCCCTGAGCTCTTCAGCTCAAGGTGAGAACTCTACCACTTGAGCCACAGCACCACTTCTGGTTTTCTGGTAGTTTATTGGAGAAAAGAGTCTCACGAACTTTTGTACCCAGGCTGGCTTTGAACCAAGATCCTCATATCTCAGCCTCCTGAGTAGCTAGGATTACAGGTGTGAGCCACCAGTGCCCTACACTCTATGTGTTTTTGACAGTGGTATTTAGGGTTTTGTTTTTTTTTTTTTTGCTTTTTGTTGGTCGTGGGGCTTGAACTCTGGGGTTGGGCGCTGTCCCTGCGCTCTTCAGCTCAAGGCAAGCACTCTACCACTTGAACCACAGAGCCACTTCTGGTTTTTCTAGTGGTTTATTGGAGATAAGAGTTTCACAGACTTTCCTGCCTGGGCTGGCTTTGAACTGCAATGCTCAGATTTCAGCCTCCTGAGTAGCTAAGATTATAAGCATGAGCCACCAGCGCCCGGCTTGGTATTTAGTTTTAATGACATAAAGCAATTCATTCATAATCCATGATCACATTATGAACTTAGCAAGTAAAATCTTGGACTTTATGTATATTAAATTGTCAAGAGTAAAGCTATCATTTTTATATCTGGATGTAAAAAGAAATGTACACCTGTTGCCCAGCACTGAGGTGATGAAGGCAGGAGGATCAAGAGTTTGAGGACAGCCAAACATTAGTGACTAGCCCAGGCTACTTGAGTGACTCAGCCTGGACACAGCAGGACATAGTGGAACATGACTGTCATTCTAAGCTATGTGTGAGGCCAAAGCTGTGAAGAAAAGACCATTAGCTTCTATCTCAGTGGAAGGAAGCTGGATAAGGTGGTTCACGATTTTCATTGAAGCAAAAACACAATACCTAAAATAGGTAGATTGTGATCCAGGCCACACTTTGGCACGAAGCGAGACCCTATCTCAAAAATAACTAGCAAAAAACAGG